TCATGTCTCCCCTAGTCCTTCTTTTCATTAAACTAAACATACCCAGTTCCTGCAACCATTCTTCATATGTTTTAGCGTCCAGTCCCCTAATCATCTTTGTTGCTCTTCTCTGCACTCTTTCTAGAGTCTCAACATCTTTTTTACATTGTGGGGACCAAAACTGAATACAGTATTTATTATATTAAAATGATCAGAAAGTGTGGTAGGATGTAATAATTTTGCTTTCATCATTCTGTGGCTGAATCCTTACTTATTTTGAATGCCTCAAAGATTGATACTGGATGCAAGAAATGATTTTCTGGGCCAACATAGGCTCAAGATACTGCTTTGCCAGAACTGCTCAGCACCCAAGCCTGCTTATTTAAGTAGAATTGGAAAGGCTCCATCTGAATACAAATTGAATTTACCTTGTATCCTCTAATAAGTCATTCCAGCAAGAAAAATAATTCAGCTAATGTGTCTTGATAAATCATGGATGTCAGCATTTGAAATGAAACAGGCATAAGAAGACTTAGGAGTGAACCACTAAGTGCCATGAGAAACAAATGACAGTTTCCTTCGAGGTTTTTTTTTTAGTTCAAATATTGAAGATGCACTAATTTAACTTAGTACTTAATATAGCACTCGGAACAAGTAATTTAACTTAGGCAGCACTCATGTTTGGTTGTTTGCTTGTGCTTATATAAATTAAATTAAGCTGTAGCAAAGTCTCAAATGCAATGAGAGATGGCAAAATATGAAAAAAGTTAACTTGTGGAGAGGTAAGCAAAAAGCATGAAATGAAGGAGAAAAAATCACATTAAGAAGACCAGGGTTTTATGGTGGTGTGCATAAATGTACCCAGAAGCTGTTCATTCTACTCATGAATAGCCAATCGGGGAATGTTTGGCTTTATTTCTCCTTTTTATAAAATAGGAAATACACTTGAAATACAAATCAGATTGCTCCTGCTTTCAAAAGAGTGTGGGATGCTACCTTATTCCAAACCACCCTTTCTACTCCAATTATTGTCTATTGGGTCTATGGTCTATTAGACTGAACTGGTTCAGAGATGGGTGACATGTAATACCTTAAACTTGAATACCACGGAGTAGTCAAGAATAGGTAGTACCAGTCCAACAACAATGCAAGACCTACAAGGTTCCCCTTTAGGATTTTAACCAAAGTGAGAATTTCCTCTCCTATTGAACTACCCGATTCTTTGAACTAAAATACAGACTGAACTTGCAAACATCCACATTAATGTATATGATCCCTCCCCAGTTGTGTAATGGAATGGTTCTGTATCAAAATGTTCTTTATGTCTCCCTGCTTTCTGAAAATAGTGGAAGTGGAAGAGTCAAACTTGACACTTTAACATTTCTGGTGTCAGTTCAGTTTTTCAGTACCTAGTGCTCCAGTCAAAAATTTATATTGCTACAAAAAAGTTTTGAAAAAAGCCAATCTAACTTGAGTGCATACACTGTAGGCCTACCCTTCATGATTCTGGAAGAAAGTTCAATTTGCTAAGTTAAGAAGGTTCGGGGTTTTAGTTAGTTACATGATTCAAGAACTTTGCCCGTAAATTTCTTGCCAAGGCTCCTTCCATAAAGGATATAAAATAATTTAAAATGGATTAAATGATGAGATTTTGCATTTGAATGTTTTATATTATATAATATTTGCATATAAAAGAATAATTAATGCTGCATTTGAAGTTTTCTAGACTGCTCTATTATTCCTGGTTGCTATGACTTAGAAAAAATATAAATGGAAAGCTAAAAGAGCTCTCTCTCCCTCTCTTATTTATTCCTAAATTTGTGATCTGGTGGACAAATACTGATGTATAAGTATGCAATTATTTTTATTAGAGTGCTCTTTTAGCCTTTAGCATTCCAGAAATGGGTTTGACAAACTAACCTGTTTTTAACCTAATAATAAAAACACATTCACATGAAGGATTTTCTCAGCTCTCTCAACTTTTATTCTTCTACTGCATGCAATTTACATGACTTTAAATTGTTTTAAATTGCAGCTCAAGAAAGGTGGAAGAGGATGACTTTGATGATTTTACAACAAACCAAAAATGGGTAATGTCTCCAAAATCTCATGATACTGATGTGACACTGTTGTTAAACAGGTTACTGAGAGAATATGATAAAAAGCTGCGACCCGATATTGGAAGTAAGTGTTTTTTGTTTCCAATTTCTGAGAAGACAACTATGAATACTTACATATCTAATTGAAGATGGTTATTATCATTATAATAATCAATCACTATGATACGAAAGGTATACTTATTAGTGGGTTTTTTTGCTTCAGTCTTATTAAGTATAAGTATAATCTTTATTGTCATTGTACTTAAATACAACAAAATTAGATCTAATATGGTAGTATAAAGCATAAGCTTCAAGCATCACAATAAGGAGATATACTGTACATTTAAATATAAATTAAGTAATTCATTATATAATACTATAATTATTTATTCATTTACATTTAGATTATGAATATTGTAAATTTTAATTTCAATTCTATCTCCAGGCTATTCCAAAATTATGCTGTTAAGATTGAAAATATATTTTAAAAAAATCATGAAATGGACATTGAATTTAGCATCATTTCTTGAACGTAAGATAAAGGTGATAAAAGCTCTCAAGAATGAGCATCTGATAGTTCTCTGGAAGTTTGACAGAATGCATTTTCCATCATGCTGGATATCAACTGTTCAGACTACAGCTGATGCTAATAATATTTGAAAAGCCAGAGGTAGCCCGTAAGTGGTAGGGAAGAATAAAATGGATACTGTGAGTATACTATTGATACAAATCATTTTTTAAAAATGCTATCAATTAAATTAAACTGGTAAAAGTTAAACACCGATGTGCAATTTACCCACAATATTTATTATCAGGATATAGAAATGGGCATTAGTGTAAAGCCCCTTTAAAAACTGTTAGACAAATTTGCAGAAGCTAAGCATTTTCTCTGCAAATATTAACCATGATAATGAAGAATGGCCCTTGGTTTTAGAAGTAATATATCTATATAACAAAGTATGCTGAAGCACAGCTTCTTTTCATTCTCTGCCACTTGGGAGGTAGCTATATTAATCAAAAGCAACAACAAAAAATAACAGGCTTGTGACAGGTTAAAAATTCAGGATTATTATAATATAAGCATTTATGGGCTGATAATATTTATTTCATCAAATGCAGGATGTGTTACCCTCTATGGACAGAAGTGTGTGTGTGTGTGTTTGTGTGTGTGTGTGCGCGCTTGCACGCGTGCACACACACACACACACACACACTTGCTGGGTACCCATGCTTCGCTATAAAACTATGTGATCAGGCTTGATACATTGACACTTAAAGCTTGAAAATTAATGTAGAATGTGTACCTCCTTAGCATCAGTGCGTGTTAATATAAGGCAACTGGCAGTTGGAACAGAGTTCTTTTCAGGTGGGGAGGGGGAGTAGCATGTCTAAACTTCCAGCCCTCAGGCCAGCTGAGTCACTGACCATGCCCATAGAAGGCAACTGGCGGTTGGTCGGTGAACCCGGAAGTAATTAACTTCTGGGAGCTGCGATGGGCCCCCCCGCCCGCCTGCGCTCCTTACCGGTCTTTGAAGGCTTCTGCACTTCCACGCAGGTGCATGGTACATACAGCGCCTGCGCGATTCTCCGCAAGCAGCTGGATGGCACATACAGCGTCTGCGTGATTCTCCGCAAGCAGCTGGAGCATCACGCAGGTGCTACGATGCATGCATGCACTGCACGCGTGCACGAGGATGCCGCCGGCCCCGTTCCAACTGAACCGGTTGGAACGGGATAAGCAACCCACCACTGGAGGGAGAGTAGAACATCTAACTCCTTAGCGTTGACTTGTGTTAATTTAATACTGTATAATAAATACTGATGATCTGATGGTAATTTTGAAAAATACTTTCTTACTGAGCCCCTAAAAGCCAAGAGGAACATACCTGCTGAATTTCACGTTTGTAGGCTTTACAGTTCTGGAGATTTTGTGATGAATGAGTGGTATTTGGCTTTTATATATATAGACACACACACACAGAGACACACACACACACACATTCACAGAGAGAAATATGTTATGATTATATATGAAAAGCTGAATATATGCAAGACTGCTATTGCAAACACTTTTTGAAAAAGGGTTGATTGGAGCATTGAGTTATTTGTTCTTCACTATTTTTTCCTACTAGTAAAGTCTCTCCTTGTCCAAGTCATATTCTGATGCATAATTTGCTCTGATTAGTTGATTATAAAGATCAAGTGTTTCATTTTGGGAAGTTATCTTTTTTCAAACCTATTTTGGTCATGATTTGGCAGCCTAGCAAGGATATCAACAATAATGCTGTTCATGAAATGCTTTGGTTAAAGAAATCTGAGTTTATTGGGCCAAAGAAAGAATAGCTTTCCACTAATGAGAAAAAAAGGATAGATTAACACAGATTTCCATTGAACTGTCTTCCTCTTACAGTGTCTAGTTAATTGAAATATAGAGCCAGTAAGAGCTGTGCTGGTGCAGTGGTTAGATTGCAGTTTTGCAGGCCTATTCTGCTGACTGCCAGCAGTTCAATCCCGACTGGCTCAAGGATGACTCATCCTTGCATCCTTCCAAGGTCAGTAAAATGAGGACCCAGATTGTTGGGGGCAATATGCTGACTCTGTAAATCACTTAGAGAGGGATTTAAAACACTATGAAGCAGTATATAAGTCTAGGTCAGTGGTTCCCAATGTGGGGCCCATGCCCCAGAAGGGGGGGGATGTGATTTTTAATGGGGTCAATTTGAACCTTGTTTAAACCAAGTTAATGGCCTTTTAGGCTTCATCCGCATGAGTAAAGTTCACTTTTTGAATAAAGTAAGAATTATATTTCATTGTGGTGGTGATCAGGATTTTAGTGATGCTTAAGTGGGGCATGGTAAAAAAAAACACGTTGGGAACCACTGGTCTAAGTGCTGTTGCTATTGTTTTCTTCTGGCCAATTGCTGGCTTATCAGACCAGGTGCTGCAGTAATAAAGACACAGGATCCATATCTGAAAAAGATTCCAGTGCCAGCTGTGTTCTAGATCTCTCTAACTATGACAGAATTACCGATTGCATCCAGATGATCAGGTCGCAATACTTGTTCATTTTTCACTTGTTGTAGCCATAATGTGGCCAGTAATACTCTTTATTTTCTATTCTGGCAAGCCGGCCAGTGGGCAGAGGGAGGATAGATATATGTTTAGATAGATGCACAAATGAACATACACACAGATACAGGCATTGGAATATTATTTTAAAGGTAACTATATTATCCACTGGAGGTACACTTTAGTGGTTGAAGATTGTGGTTCAACTTAAAGATTTGATTCCATATGGCTTGAAAAGAGCTTTTTAAAAAAAAAAAAAAAAAAAAAACCAAACAGCTTCTCCTAGGGCAGGGGTCAGTAACCTTAAACGCTCAAAGAGCCATTTGGAACAGTTTCCCACAGAAAAGGAAACACCGGGAACCACAAAACCCTTCCCATGCCCGACTATTCCCTAAGCAGCCACAGAACTAGCATATGTAGTTGAATTAAATGCTCTGTTTTTTCTGAAACTTTTCTTTTCTTGGATTTATTCATGGTTGGCTCAATAAATCGTATGCCGGTGAGTATCACCCATTGGCAATTGTGACACTTATTTTGAGTGACAAGGAGCCACAGCAGAGGGATGAAAGAGCCACATGGGGCTCCATAGCTGCAGCTTGCTGACCCCTCTCCTTTTTTTTCCTATGGAAAAAAAAATGGTGCTGACACCTAGCCCTTGGTTTGTGAAATGACCACCTGCATTTTGCATTATTTACAATCTCACAAATTGTGTGTAAGCAATGTTTATGTGTGTGCATATATATTCATAATTCTGTTAACACTTTATGTACCTCATTCAATTGATAACTTTGTGGATAACCTTCAGGCAAAAAACAAAGCTTTCTTCCAGAGAAAATGGGATGGTGTAAACAAAGTTTTAAAAATAGGAAAGAAAACCAAACATGAATTGGCTCATAAGGAATGGGTATATTTAGAATTGCTCTTAGGCTATGATGTTCTCCCATCAGAGTAATACTTGTCCCCATTCTCCAGGCTTTCAAAAAAGGAACCAGGAATCAATTTTTTGAGCTTGACCTTTTAAATTACCTTAGATTGTTCTCACATTTTTAAAGGCTTTTATTATTGTTTTCCGGGGCTTTGCCCAGCTTACTATTCACAGCTTTGGAGAAAAGATAGCATAGAACCATTATTAATAAATAAAACCAATAAAGAATTAAAGAGAAAAATGTCCAGTGAGAATGAAAACTAGAATTTTAGCAACAGCAGTGGAGTCAGATTGTGAATGCTCTTCTATCAGCTTAGCAATTAGAAATGAAGCAAGCTGACATTTTTCTCAGATAACCAAATTAATGGGACCAAATGACAGTGTTCAAACAGAGTCCAGGGAATCTATTATTTTTCAAGAACACAGAAAACTGGAACAAATTCAGTAATTCTTAAGCATAATGTGGTTATTATTATTTTTGGCTTTAATTTATTAGCTCAATGTGAAATGAGCTATTTATTGCTGAAGAGCAGTCAGTGATATTTTTATTTGCATGTGTTTGTGTCTGAAACTATGGTGGGAAAGGATTTTAGGTTTTTATAGGTGTATGAGAAAAGGGTGGCTCAGTGGCTAAGATGCTGAGCTTGTTGATCAGAATGGTCGGCAGTTCAGCAGTTTGAATCCCCAGCGCTGCGTAATGGAATGAGCTCCCGTTACTTGTCCCAGCTTCTGCCAACCTAGCAGTTCGAAAGGATGTAAAAATGCAAGTAGAAAAATAGAAATCATCTTTGGTGGGAAGGTAATAGCGTTACATGCGCCTTTGGTATTTAGTCATGCCAGCTACATGACACAGAGATGTCTCTGGACAGCGCTGGTTCTTCGGCTTTGAAACAGAGATGAGCACTGCCCTCTAGAGTCGGGAATGACTAGCACATATGTGTGAGGGGAATCTTTACCTTTGGTGTATGAGAAAGAATTGGATGTTAGATATATAATGTCATTGCTAGTTCATTATTAAACTCTATATCTTCTACCAAATGGCAATTTTATTTGGCTAATAAAAATCTAGTATTTTTAATGCCAAAGAATAA